GATTACTCCGAACATTTTGAATTATTTTATGGAACAAATGTCCTATTTTTTTGTCAGCATTTCTAATTACTTCATTATTTCATTCGTCTATTGTGCCATTTTTGCCATTCTCGATTTTTGCTTAATTACGATGACTATTGCTAATAATAGAATCACTGATAATAACAATGATAATAACTGAAACATAGCATGATTTATAACAAAAAAAAAAATGATCGATCACTTTTGATGATGGAAACTTTCATCTTATCAAATAGCTCGAAGGTTCTCACTATTCTGAAAAAAATGCAGATGCGATTATTGATAAAAAATTTTTTCGTGCTGTAGAATAATTTATTGTCAATATTTTTTTGATTTAGTTCAGCTGAAAATTTTTCAATGTGTTTTTCTTGCAAATTTAATTTGAAATTCCAAAAGCTTGGAATATATACAGAAGAAATGAAAATACGGAAGGAAAGGATACAGAAGAGTGTACAATTCCTTTACTGTTGTATAAAGGTCCGATAAGTATTTTTGTAGTTATTGTTGATTAATAAATTTTCACTTCTGATTCCTAAAAAATTTAAAATTTTTTTTTCCATCTATAAGATCTCATTTTTTTTGGCCAATTTTAATAATTGCAAATTAACTCGAAGATTTAAAGTGATTTACTAAAGCAGCGCACATTCTTGTGATAAATTTACTGATAATTGCAGAGTGAAATTCTTCATATATTATCCCCACAAGATTTAAGGTTTACATTTTAAGATCTGACAATTCCATCCTTTTATTATAGCGTTAATGTATGCCATGATGAGAGCATCTTCAACTTAAAAATAAACATAGGACTTTCTTTTAAATAATTTTCTAGAGAATATACACACCAAAACATACATTGTAATTCATTAAATAAAAGTTATAACACACACACATACAACACATACATAGACACATACACATATACATATACACATACACACATACACACACATACACACACACACATACACATATCCCTTAATGTGCACACGTCTCAAATAAATCAGAGTACCGTGATTTGTTTGCATGATCAAGATCGGATGATTTCCTAAAGTCATTTTAGTGTTTTAAGATAATAATGCTTATCAAGCTTTACTTCTTTTTAAACTGTTACAGATAATTTCCAATAACTAGTCTGATCTGTTCTGCAGATAAAAATATTTTTTATAAATTTGTGTGAGAATGAAATATCACTTCGATATGATCGAATTCATGTCGATATTGGTATTTGCATTTAAATCTCTTGTTGAAATGCGAAAAAACGAAAATAACTGGTAATTTCAGGTCTTACGTGCCCAAAAAACATGTGCCTACATGCATCGCCTTGTAGCGCCGCTATAACAACCGTAGCATCTTACGTGAATCCATCAGTTACTCAGAACCGATGTTCTTTTGGTGCCAGATTCCCAGTTCCGGTTACACCGACCGCTTCATCTGCTTTTTTCTCCTCATTATTCGGTACATCATCAACATTGCAACAGCAACAACAGCAATTACTGCAACAAGCCCAAAACCTTAGTCCAATTAGCAGCAATCAAAATCCCGAAACATTAACTATTCTCTCTGAATTAAATGCTGTAAAGGAGGCAGCATTAAATGCAAATGCTACCTGTTATCCTCTGCTACCATCTCTAGAAAGTTTAATACCATTGACATTACTTCAATTGGATCAACAGATTACCAATTCAATGTTCACTTCTCAGGCATCACCTGCTTCTGCCACTTCCGCACTGCCCTCAAATCATAATAAAACAGCGGAAATAAAAGATTTTCAACAACAACCGAAATGGATAACTCCTGTTAGACATCCACAACTTCATAGGCAACTTTCGGTCATCGAAAATAATTCCGATAGCAGTTCAATGGGAACAGATATAAAACGACCCTCGGATTTCTCCATTAATCGCTTGCTCCGGAAACATTGTAGTGGATCTGCTATGAATAAACGTTACGATATTCCTGCATCTAGTCAGCATCAGTCTGATGAAAGAAATCTCAAAGGTCGAAAACAACGAACTATTTATGGCGTTTCACAAACCAAAATTCTGGAGAAAGCCTTTGAGGAGCAACAGTATATGGTTGGAACAGGTAAGATAATTAAAACTAATATAACTTTACCAGAAAACAAATTCAGTGATATTTTTGCGAATGTTTATGCGCTTATATATTTTATTCATAAATTTTGACATAAACGAAATTCAGTGAAAAATAAATAACCTGGAAACATTAGGGGATCAACTAAACTGAATCTCACAAATCAAACCTCTCATGGAACATAATTCATAAATTTAGAATATGAGAGATTTCTTCAAGTATAATCTCCAAAAAGAAAAAGCTTGAAATTTGCAAAATTATTGAGATTTTTTGCAACTTTTCTAGAGCGTGAAATGCTCGCCGAACGACTTGGATTATCGGAGGCACAAGTCCGGGTGTGGTTCCAAAATCGACGTAGCAAATGGCGTAAACAATTACGAGCCAATATTTATGTCCAATGAACTATGTGTTAAAATTAGGATTGTGGTTCATCAAAACTTTGTTGTGATCCAATCTAAATAAAATAGAATGTAATAGCGATTTCCAGAAGTCTCATTCGCTGATCTCATTATCTTTTTGAGATTTTGGTTTGCTTGAGATTTGAATTTGTTTGTAATATTTTGTGGAAATGAACATATTTTATGCAGAGATGAACACAGCAAAAGTCATGAAAATAACTCATCATCGAGATTCCCGATTTTTTCCTGCTGCTGAAACAGTAATACAAAGTCATGCACTACTTTTGTCTGAAAAAAATAGTTTACAATAATTAAAAAAGGGTAAATTTTTGCAAATATTCATGCGCCTGCAGATATCAAACGGTCCTTATTAATTAAACAAATTGCTTCATATTCTTTTTCAATTTAAATCCATGCTACTATAAAGAAAAAACAAATCCATAATGCAATTTCTAGGAAATAGATATGAATCAGTTCTTGCCCTGAATACAATCATATCTTATCCAGATTCGGAAAAAATGAAACTCGCATTTCCATGAATTGAAATTAAGTAACTGAACGAATTTCAAATCTAAATAGCATCCTGCAGTTTCATTTTCAGCACAACTATAATTTATCGCCTAAAAAATTAGAATTTTTAAGAAATTGAACTTATCCAGCAAAAAGCACTAATATCCACAAATATCCACAAGTCCAGTTTAAAAATCTATAAAAAATTACGACGAATTTTAAATTCGGAATATTCTAATAAGACTTCAAATGACTCTGTAGATATAAATCAACTCAGTCATCATCTACGATCGCAAAACCATCTTCATCATCGCCACCATCATCAACACCTGCATTACTTCCAACAATTCCATTATTTTCTGAGTCATCTTCATCTGATGAAACGATTCGTTTCCTTCTGGTTGCTTTCACGGATGTTTTTTCGACTTCATCATCATCGCTAGCACTCGGTGAACGTGCACGATCTTCCGTTGAGCTTTCAGCACTGCTTTGATCCGAACTGTTAGTTATATGACGTTTTGTTTTTGATTGTCCATTATCACTGAATATTATTTGCAAATGTCTTATTAATGAAGCAGTAATTAAATTCGAAATGAAATGAAAATTCGAATACTTCGAATGCAAGTTAAAGATGAAAAACGAAATTTTAAAATTTAAATCGGTTTTAAAATTTTAACCGCATTCACCCATTTATTTATTACTTATCCAGTCACTTATTCATTAATTCAGGAATATGTTTAAAGATTACATTTAAATCCTTTCTTGATTATTCCACTGTGAAAGAAAAGAAATCCATTCCGAAAAGTCTTTTTTTGATTACAAAATCAAGAATTTATTACCAAATTTAGCTTTTAGATAAAAATCAGTGTGTGGATGCTGGCAATCAGAAGTTGAAACAATTAATTCAAGGACATGGATCCAATAAAATTGTGATGTGGAATTGAATCTTAGCAAGTACTACATGAAAATGGTGAGTCTTGATAATCATATTTCAATCATTATGGAGGTTGAGATCTCAACAAGATACGTCTAATTAAATTTCGAAGATTAAACTCGATAATAAGAATCTAAGTAATTTAATGTAATATTTTCCATAACATTATCATCTTCAAGTTATCGTTCCATTCTCGTTCCCAATTCAACATAACTCGTAAATGACTGAACTGACTTAATTACATAATTCATAATTCCAAATAAAATGAAATGTAAAAACCTATCAACATCGGAATCTGTTTGTCGGACAATATCTTCCGCAACACTGCTATCACTTTCAATGATTTTTGCTGGTTCAAGTGATCCAGCCACATCACTGTCATCCGAAAGTCGTGATTTCGATGGCTTGTTGGTATCGTCATCCGAACTTGATTCATCCGATTGCACAAATTCACGACTTTTCACTGAAAGAAATAGAAATCTAATAAAATAATGGTAAAGTGGAACCAAAAACCAAAAATGTGACAAAAAATTTTTAAAACACATTAATAAAAAATAACCTAATAAGATTAATTAAAAATGTATGTGGAAAGTTAAAAATCTACATACAATTAATTGATTTAATCGACATCGGTTTCAATTGAAAAATAAAATTTTTGAAATTTCACATAAATTGAATAAGAAAATGAAAACCTTTCATTTTTTGTTTTGCGCTCAACTCAAAATCGCTGCGGTCAAAACGTATCTTTTTTAATTTACGCCCTTCCCGGCGGTTACGGTTTTCTACTTCATCCAATTCTCCACCACTTCCTCCACTTGACACTTCACGGCGCTCACGCTTTTTGCGTCCTCTCCTTTCTTTCTTAAATGAATTTTATCAGATGAATTTCCACTCCATGGACCAATTATTTAAATCAAAAAGAACAACCTTTTTCCGTGGTTCTCCTCCTTCACCTGCATTCCATTCACCTAAATCACTGTCATCATTTACGAACTCATCGCCTTCACGATCTTTACGACGCCTTCCACTGCCACGTACTCGTTTTTCTTCAACAATCTACAAATATCACAAACATCTTATTTGAAGAACCAGACCAAAACTTTAGCAATTACCAGTTACCTTATCAATTAATTTTATACCTATAATATAGGACTTGTTTTTAAATAAGGGTAAAAATGGAAACAATTGTACTTAATCAATCAACCTCCAAAAAAATAAAAGAATCTATTATACCGTTGGTAATTTAAGTATCTCTTTCGTCTTTTCCACATATTCTTGCCGCATTTGTTTCAGAACTTCAAGCTCTCGCTTAGCTTTTTCTTCACGTTCTTTAGCTTCCTGTTCTTGCTGCCGTTTAAGCGCTTGTCGTTCTTCTTCTTGCCTTTGCCGTTGTCTCTGTTCCTCCTCATCTTGTGCCTAGAAATGAGAATATAAGGTATACCTTTAATCTTTCGTCACAATAAAGTAAAAGTTCCATCCACGAACAAAATTAGTGCACGAGATCACCAATTTTTCGTAATGTAAGCAAAAATGACGATGAAGCATGCTAAAATAACGCGTGACATACCTTCGCTCTTTGCAGATATGTTTGTGCTTGTGTAAGTAAGTCATAGCAAGCTCGAGCTTCATTAGCAGAAGCAGTTCGGCTAACAATTCGCGCTTGGCTCATTGTATCGTCTTTGTTTCGTGATATGTATTCAAAAATCCTGGAATTATAAGCAGTGTAATTAAATTCGCCAGCTGCTTAAATGATAAAAAAACATCAAACGAGCCATAAAAATACAGAAAACTAAAACATACGTCGCTGCTGTTCTTAAATCATCCACAGCACCAGTTACCATTTCCAGCGATGATTTATCATCACGAAGCATTTGTGTCGCTAATTTTTGCAAAACAAAAGCATGATTGAATTTCAGCATCATATTATCCGGTGCTTCGCATATAGCCTACAAAACACACATATAGCGCATATAGCCTATAAAACATTCGACAAACATGAAATAAAACCAAATTGGAATCAAACGATGTAATGATCGAAAAAGTTTCTAGCTAAGGTTTTAATCAGTAACTAAATCAGCAGCATCAAATTTTTACTACAATCTTATTTGTCGAGAGTGTACTGTAACAGAAGAAGAAAAAAACATCTTAACTCCAGAAATCTTTATTTTCCGGAATATGAAATGAACAGCAGTATTTGAAATTATATCATCAATGATCAAAGATTATAAGCAACATTGCTGATGACAATTAATTTCTAAAAATTAAAAAAATTCTAAAACTAGATAATTAATATGAACAAACCTTTTCAAGGATATGTCTACATTCAACAAATTTTCCAGCTTTATAATGTGCTCTTGCCAAATAGAGCAAAAGTGATACATCATTATGTCGATTAAATTTTTTTATACAATTGTCATACATCTGAATTGCTGCAACATACTGTTTCTGTTCCATATAAACATGAGCTATATTTACCCAAACATCTGAGAAATCAGCTGTTGCTTCACGAACTTGTGCAAAAATATCTCTGGCTTCTTGGACAGCTCCTTTTTGTGCTAAGATGCATCCTGAAAACAATAAGAAATATTTTACATCAAAAGATTAATGGTTGAATTTCCTCCTTGAACCACGCGACGGTAACCCACAAAAGTGGATAATTCAGCTACAAACTAATGTCTCACTTTTCAATGCAATGAAATGAAACGGAAGTGAGATTTAGCTTTTTTTGAATTACTGGACAATAAATTCAAAATAATTCAGAAAAGATTTTATTTACTAACCGATTCCATTAGCTGCCCAAATATTCTTTGGATGTACTTTCAGAGCCTTACTATACATCATCAGAGCTCTTTCACGGTAATCTTTGTCCTAAATTGCATAGAATTAATATCGGTTATACTTTCAAATATTATGGAATCATGATAATTTGTGCTCATGATAACTGTAAAGAAATCACGGCATTCATAATAAATTGGTGGACTCTAGAAAAAATTCCCATAATGAAATTTTGATTTCAAAACATGTCACATTTCATAAATGTCATATCGGCAATATAAATAATTTAAATGAAAGGCAAGGAAGAATATAATGAAAGCAAATAAATATAACATAACCTTTTCCTTCTTTCTATGAATGGAAGACAAAGTTTCAAGCCAAATATTGCCAAGTGCAACAAAGCTATATGGATCATCGTGATATTCCGGAAGTTTCAATATGTATTCGAACTTTTTCTGCGCCGGTGCCCATTCACATTTCGACATATGCAAATTCCCAATCAATGACCAAGCATCAGCATGTGATTGGTTTACGCTCATTCCTTCCTAGAAAATTTGAAACTTCCAAAAACCAAAAGCAAAACTTTGGGAAAAAATAGTAGATACTATAAGAATGCACACCTTAAACCAGACAGATGATTCATAAATTTGTCCTTTATCCCGAGCAAGACATCCCAGTCGCATGTAACCTGAAAGCAATTACTCAGGCATCTAGAAAAAAAATATTTTTAAAGTTTCATTTTCAATATGAAAACTTCCTTCACTAATGATAAGCTGATGCATAC